GAGGAGAAGGAGGAGAAGAAGTGGATGGATGAGGGGGGAGGGGAAGGGGAGGAGGAGGAGGAGGGGAGGAGGAGGAGGAGGAGGAGAGGAGGAGGAGGAGGAGGGGCTGGATTCGAGGGGGAGAGGAGGAGGAGAGCCCAGGGAAGGGGAAAGCCTGGCTCGCCGGATTAGCAGGAAGGAAAGGCGGACCGAGTGCTCAGGCGTCAGAGTTGGGGTGGGGCGCTCGGTGGGCCTGGAGGATGAGCAGGGAGGGCAGGCAGCCTCCTGAACTAGGAGAGACTCCGGGAGGATATTCCGCAGCGCCTAAACACCGTCTGCCCCGCTGGAGCTTCAGTGACTGGAGGGCCTTGGTCTGGTGTAGACCTTGCCTCCAAGCGCCAGACTCAAGAGACAAGCTCTGACTGCTGCGCCTGATCCGCACAGCTTTCAGTGGGAGCAGGGCAGCTTCCGCCTCCTCACTTGTCCTCAACCTCTCCCTAAGGCATAAAAACTGAGTCTGGCCCTACTGAAAAGAAGGACATAGTTCTACATGGGTTCATGAGCCACTGTCAGGAAGGCCCCGGTTTCCAGTGGGTGGAGAAGCTCGCTGAAAATAACTGCATGAGTAACAGGTTTGGGCAAGTGGCCCCAGCTAAGTGGGGCTTTGGGTGTTCTCCAAGGTTTTTAAAGCGGGAATTGGAAAACTGGAAATAATAGGAAGATTTTTCCTCTCTGTATCTAGCAGAGGGGAAAATAAACAGGCATTTAGAAGTATGGGCACCTTGATAAAACCAAAGCACAAAGGGGATGATGGTGGCAGTTATAGCCTGCCACAGTAGACAGAGGTGCTGTCCCATGGATGGTGGCAGCAGCCCTGCATTGACAAGCTCAGGAGCTCATCCATGGCCAGGGCTGGCTTTCTGTGCAACTCAGGAAGGCAGAAAGTAGAAGTGACACCTTTAGGGGCTTAAGGGGAAATGACTAGAACAGTTGGGACTCAAAACAAACACAGAAGGCCGACAGGCCACCCCCAGCCCCACACAGCAGGCCCGAGGCTTGCCGGCCCCTTTCTCCTTCTCCATATCCTTCAGGCTGTGTGTTTCCTGCCCCATGCCATTACCTTTGATGCTGCTGCCAGAGGCATTTGCCCAGATAATACCTTGCAGTATAGAGGGTGGGGCAGGGGATCCCACAATATTTAGTTGCCCAGGCCTTGCCCCTAAAAGTACCTCTTGAATGAGGGTCAGTTGCAGCTGAACCTGCCTTCTCTGGCCTCTTTTGGTCAGTCAGCACAGTCAATGTATGGGAGATGCTTGCACCATTTCCTCCTCCCCTGGCACATACCACCTTTGGAAAGTTCTGTGTCCAGTCATCACCCAAGGCACAGCAGGTGCAGTGGTGAGAGGAGGAGCTCTGGGGCTGGCAGTCCCAGCCCTGGCACTTCATAGCTTTGTGGCCTCCAGCTTGGTATTTCACCACTCTGGGACTCAGACTATCGATCTGTGAAAGGGGAATGACATCTCCCTTAGCACTGTTGCAAGCATTATGAGAGATCATGTGTGTAAAGGGCTCAGTCCAGTGCCCAGCTCAGGCGAGGTACTCAGGTAAAGGCAGCTGTTGGTATCAGAATTTCACTGCACTCATGTCCTAACCTCCCAGGGAACGTTCATTCACAGTGTGGACCACCAGGGGCTGTTTTCTGGGGCTGGATTCCTTCCTGAGGCCATGTTCAGAGTTCTGCTCTCCCACAGCTTTGCACTTTGGTCAATGCCCCGATGCAAAGGTGATATGGCTAGGAGCACTGGTTCTTGGAGCTGTCTTCCCAGGCCTCATAGTGTGAGAGATTCAGCTGTGCCAGCTGGTGCTGAGGCCACCCACACGAGACAAGGTGGAGAATAAACTGCTTAGGGGATGCAGCCTGCACTCGCGTGCACAACACAGCAAGTCCAGCAGCTGTCAGGGCTGAGCCAGTCCAGGTAAAAAAAAAGTGGACTGAGGAGCTGCCAACTGCTAATGGGAGTGATTATAGCCAGTCTCCCAGTCCCCCCAGGGAACACACCAGCCAGCAGCTAACATGGAAGCCAGCCCAAGCCTCCTGCTCAAGTTAGTAAAGCAGTTGAAAGAGCAAAAGCAGCTGATGTTTTTGGCAAAGAGCTGGACTCCTGAGAGACACTGAAGAGCCTGTCTCCCTGGCCACTCTTGAGGCAAGGTGTCCCTCCTGCCAGGCCATGCCCTTCCTCCCTCAGGTGCCTTCCTGAGCACAGATTTCCTGCCCGTTACTTGAATTTTAACAGTCCTTTGAAGTTATTCCTTGCATTTCTGATTGTCAATCAATCAGATTAACTTTCTGTAAGACATCTGTCAGTCCAACTTCTTTAGGCCCAAGACCTTGCTGAATAACATTCCATAAATAATCAGGATGGGAAGTCAGGGTACAGAACAGAATAAGCACTACAGCCTTTGCTTCAGCCTGGAAAGGGCTTGTCAAAGATGTGATACAAAGGCTGAAATCCTGGCACTTTGGGAAACCAAGGCGGGTGGATTGTATGAGCTCAGAAGTTACAGACCAGCCTGAGCAAGAGTAAGACCCCTGTCTCTACTAAAAATAGAAAAAACCTAGTGGGGCATGGTGGCACATGCCTGTAGTCCCAGCTACCCAGAGGCTGAGGCAAGATCACTTGAACCTAAAAGTTTGAGATTGAAGTGAGCCATGATGATGCCACAGCACTCTACGTAGGGTGACAGAATGAGATTCAGCCTCAAAAAAAAAAGAAAAAAGATGTGATAGTGATGTGACGAAAATGAGAAGAAGGAAGGAAAAAGACTTTCTTGTCTGAAAAGTGAGTACAAACATCCCAAAAAGATCTAGAAAAGGAAGTAGGGGCTGCGCACTGTAAGCACCTAGGGTCTAAGTTGGATGCCTTACACGCAACACCTGGCAACAAAAGCTAGGTGGGAGAGCAGCTTACTCAAGGCACACAGCTAACTAAGGGCAATTAGGGCCAGATCCAGACTTCTGCCCCCAGCCCTGTGCTTTCACCAGGCTACCAATTCTCCTTCCCACAACCCAAGATGGCAGGGTATCCAAGGAGATGGGGACAAACCAATAGGTTCTATTCCAAAAAATATTTCCTTGAGCATCTGTTGAGTTCTGGACATTGGATGAAGCTTCTGTGGCCACTTAACATTCATGTCTTCTTATAACTGGAAGGCCAACCTCCCTTGCTTTCCTGGAGAAGCAGGAGATGGGAGGAGGGAGAAAGGCTCCAGTCAACTCAGTGGGAAAGGGAGGCTCAGAGGGGCAGGCCCACCCTTTCCCTTTCTCTTCTTTCCTGAAGAGCCATGGCCCCTTCACAGAGCCATTCCCTGTTCACTCTTACTGCCCTCTTTCACCTTCAAAGTAAGAATAAAGAATAGGTCCAGAGGAACTTTCAGAGGCCTGTGGGGGCCCCACAGCTGCTCCTTGTGTGAACATAAGATGGGAGGAGACACACACAGGGACCTCTGGTTCTCAATTACCCAATCACCAAACACTGACTCTCAGAGAACTGCAACTGAAGAAGGATGAGTCTGTGAAGTTCACCTGTTAGGAGTTTGAAGTCTCAAAACTACTTTGAGATCTCTCTGAAGATAGATACTTTATCTTTGCCAAGTCCAAGCTCCTCGATACCTGGAGCCAAGCTATGTGGGTGCAGCTGCCCCAGGGATGCCTCTTGGTGATGCCAGCACCCCTGGGACAAAGGGGGAATCCCAGCATGTCTCCTCATATCGGTCCCTAAGCTAGGGGTTGGAGTTCCAGAGGTTTTTCTAAAAGTTCTTTCCTAGGAGGGAGATAGACATGTGAGCAATAAAGCGTAATAATTATAAATACTATGTCCAAATTCTACACAGGGAATAGGAGAAGGTCCACAAAGCCTTCATAAGG